ATCTTTAGAAAATAAATAAATCCATAAATAAATAATAAAATTCAATGAAATTTGGGGCATCTGCGTGGCTCAGTCGGTTAGGCTTGATCTCAGCTCAGGCCTTGATCTCAGGGTTGAGAGTTTGAGCCCTGCGTTGGGCTCCATACTGGGCGTGAAGCCTACTTTAAAAAAAAAAAAAAAAACTAATAATAATTAAATGAAATTTAAAACTCAGTTCCTTATGGTACTAGCCACATTTCAAATGCTGTTGAACTACAGTCTTGGACAGCACAAATACAATGATATGGAACATTTCTGTTATTATAAAAAATTCTGGACAGCGCTCTTCAAATGCTTCAGAGCAGGGGTTCTTAACCAGGGATGATTTTCCCAGGGGGGCCCATATAGCAATATCTGGAGACTCTCTGGTTGTCACAACTTAGAGCGTGCCACTGGCATCTAGCAAACAGAGGCTAGGGATGCTGCTCAACATCATATAGGGCATGGGACAGCCCCCACAACAAAGAATTGTCCTGTCCAAAATATCAATGAACCAAGATTGAGAAGCTCTGCTTTAGAGATATAATCTCATTGACTATTCTCCATAATCTTGTACATATTATTATTATCCATATTTTATAAACAAGGAAACTGAGGCCTGATGAGCTTAAGGAACTTGACCAAGGTCACAGGTATTAAGTGGCAGCGCTGGGACTTAAACCCAAAGCTGTCTGATTTTGAATCTCCTGCTCTGAAACGCTGAGCTAAAGGGGACCATGTCAGAGCCACACCCACTCTCGTAGAAAGCTTCCTGCCTAGTGCCATAAAGAACCTGATCTCTCATGTCCTCTCTGTGCTGCTGCTTGGAAATATTCATGCCAGCCTGTAAGGCAGAGAGACTGGCTGAGGCTTAGTGTCCCCATATCCTCATCTTTTTGGGGAGTGATGCTCATACTGTGGAATACCCACCCTAAGGGCAACATGTAAAAATATCAGGAGTGGGGATGGATGTAGTTGGAAAAAAACATGTCTAAGATTACTAGTATTTTTACATTTGGAAAAATGGAGGAAAGATAGATTTTATTGGTAATATAAACCACAGGAGCTAATGCTGAACAAAAAGCTGATAATCTATGGTTTTTAAAGGAAGTAGAGAAATGGGCTCACTGGCTTCTGATGAGAGATCTTGGAATATCTCTGCCTCCCTGACTGCTTCTCTCCTTCCAGCCACCTCTGTCCAGAATGACCTCAACCAAGGTGGCCCAGAGGGCCAGAGCGCTAATTCCACGGGGCAGGCCACCTGGTCCCTGGAAGAGGAGAAGAGCAGGCTGCTGGCTGAGGCAGCGATCGAGCTGCGGGAAGAGAACACGAGGCAGGAGAGGATCCTGGCCCTCGCCAAGCGCCTGGCTGTGCTTCAGGGCCAGGACCCTGATAAAGGTAGGGGCTGGGAAGCAGCAACTCACTCATGTCCATCGGGCAGGCGCCCCCACACACCCCCAGGCCAACCTCTACAAAATGGCGACTCCCGGCCACGCTGAATCAGGTGCTGGGAATTCCTGTGCCCAGGGGTCTCGAGCTCTGCCCAGAGCCACAAGGAAGGTACTGGGGCAAAGGAGTGGAAAAGTAATACATAGCAGGCATCAGGGGCCCGGGACCCCCAGTCTCTTCAGGTGCAAAGTCTTCTGTTCCTGTCCCCCAGCCCTGCAGGGTGGGGCAGGGAAGGGCAGGATCTGATCAGTGGCGACAGAGGCTGCCTAGCTCTGGAACAAGTGCCACTGGAAAGCCAACCAGCTCCTGGGGGCAAAACTACAGCTACTCGGGTGAACTCTCTCCATGTTACTCCTCCTCCCCTGCTCCTGTCGTTCCTTCTTCAAGTGACCCTCCAGGACTATCACCTCCCAGACAGTGATGATGATGAGGACGAGGAGACAGCCATCCAGAGAGTCCTGCAGCAGGTGGGCCCTACCTTACCCACCTGACCCTGCCTTGTCCTGTCCCTGTCTCACTGCCCCACCCCCCACCCGGCCCCCTTCACCCTGCCTCCACTCTCGTGCTGAGTGGCCTCTCTGCAGCTCCTGATCTGGCTGGGGCCCCACTGTCCCTATGACCCAGACCTGCCTACTGGCCCCTGGAGATGGGGTATCAGCAGCCACAGGCAATAGATAAGGGAGATGGATTGAGAAGCTAAGGCCACAGAGCACAGAAATACTCGTGGGGAAGAGGGTCAGGGTCTAGGCCTGGAACAGGGAGCTGCACCTCTTCGCCCTGTCCACAGCTCACGGAAGAAGCTGCCCTGGATGAGGCAAGTGGCTTTAACATCCCTGTGGAGCCCGCTCTCCGAGCCCGGGCCCAGTCCTGCAGGGCAGAGCCTGAGGTGAGAAAAGCCACCGGCCGCCACCACAGCCTCCCTCCCTGCCTGGCCAGCTGCTCCTGCAGCAGTCTCCCACACATCTTACTTCTCTCCCCCATTCCTCTCCGGTCCCGGCAGGCCCAGGCCATGGCTGCCAGGCCCGAGGCTGAGGAAGAGGAGCTCCCCTGGTGCTGCATCTGCAATGAGGACGCCATCTTGCGCTGCACTGGTTGCGATGGGGACCTCTACTGTGCCCGCTGCTTCCGGTGAGGGCGGGTGGAATGTTCTGTTCCACTGGGAGAAGTCGAGGGCCATCCGTGACCCCTGACCTGTCTCTCTCTGCTCCACAGGGAAGGCCACGATGCCTTTGAAATTAAAGAGCACCAGACGTCTCCCTACTGCCCACCGCGCTCAGGCCGAGAGCACTGAGGAAACCAGGCAGGCAAGCCCACCTCTGGGCCCAGCCTCAGGGCACCCAATGGGAGAGTGAGTCAGCCTAGACTGCTCATGGATGCGCCCTTTCCTGAGCGTCAGTGTCCCTGGAAGGAAGGAAGGACTCTCCATTCGAGATGATAACTGGGGGTAGCCAGAGTGAAGGCAGAAGTCAGGAGCCCACCAACAGCCAAGCCTGGACTGGGAATGAGGTGTGGTGGGGAAGAGACGAGACTGAATCTAAGGGTGATGAGCCTTGAAACTTGCTCAAGGGCCCAGGGCCCTTCCCCGGCACTTAGTGGATCTAATAAAAAATGTTGATGTCTTAAGCCCAGCAACTCTTATCTGTAGAACCCTGTGGGCTCTGAGCCTGGGCCCCTGGAGAGGTGGCAAGAACAGGATTTCTACTCAAAGTCCAGTCCTATGGAGTGAGGAAAAAGGTGGGGCCATCCTGCAGGCTTTTCCAGGCAGGAACAGTCCCATCCACCCTGGAAGCCTCATATGAAGTAGGCAGTGGATATTCGTTCAACTGATCTGAACTGTGCATCCTGCTCTGGGCAGCCCAGCGTAGCCCCACCATCTTGGATTCCTCAGCCTCCCTCGTACTCAGCGCATGCACAAACAGTGAATGCTTACCCTGCTTTCTGCCTTACTCCCAAAGGATGCCACCTCCCTGAGCTCCTGTCCCAACCTGCCAGCCATTCAGACCCAGTATCTTTCCAGCAACACGCTGATGAGGCCTCTCGGCCTGTACCCTTTACACCTCTCTGCTTAGCTCCTGCTTTTTCTCTTTCTGCTGCTGGCTGGAGCCAGCTCAAGACAGTCCTCAGCCTGATGCCTCCTGATTCAGGGGGAATAGGAAGGTTTAGCCTTCCCTGATATCCCCAGACCCAGCTAGGTTTTCCCTGTTACCTCTCCTCTGGGATTCGAAACTAGTCTTTGCCACTTGGGCTCCTGTTGTTGGTGATGCAGGATGCTGTGTGTCCTAGTCTGGTGCCCTCTTGTTTGGCCTCTGGGCCTTGCTAGATCATGAGCTCTAAAGCAGAACTGTGATCTTTGAATTCTCAAGGCCAATTTGGATAGATGGACGGAGGAGGTGTGGATAGAGCCTGGTGGCTCGGGATGCTGGCCCTCTGGTATATCACTTTACCCTCCCCTCCCCATCCCTCAGGAAAGATATGCTCCACACCATTCAGCTGGGACTCCCAAAGGTTTTATCCACTTGGCTGGAAAGTACTGGGCAACAGCCATGAATGGCTTCCAGAAAGCCCAGCTGTGACTGCACATACACTAGGGGTATCCAAATGTCCCTCCTCATCCTCCATGTTCCTTGTCTGTGTCCCACGGGACCATTTCCTCTCAGCCCAGGATTCAGAGGTTCAGGGCAGGCCTGGCAGTGCTGAGGCTGCTGAAGGTAGTCTCACAAGGCTTATTTCTGAGGCCGACTGAGTCTCCGGAGTTTCTTGAGTTGACTGAGCAGCTCAGAGATAAAAGGCTGAGAGAGAAACGGGTGAGATCAAAGCATGGGGTCACCCCCATCCACCACACTGCCCTCCCTAATCTCCCCGACCCCATGTCTCCAGAGCTGGGGAAGGGGAGAAGGATGGAGGGCCAAGCCTTCCTCTCAAACACTCTTCATTAGCTGCCTCCCCTCTGGGCCCCTCTTACCCCCAGACCTGCAGAGCATCCCTTACCTCTGTGGGACGGGGGCAGTTTTGGAGAATAGCCTGGGTGAAAGAGAGCAAAGAATGGGTCCCCAAGCCACAGCACTTTCCCACAAGCCTCCACTCAGCCCTCCCAGGAATCCTCCCCTCTGAATTGGTTCTTCCCATGCCACTCAAAACCTGGGTTCCTGGGTTCTTCCCGCTCTAAGCCCAGCCCCACATTCTACCTCCAAATGAGTCTTCTGTTCCTCTGTGGATAGTTCCATGAGAACCTCCAGGTCAATCTCAGGCTCAGAAGGAGTTGGTTGATCCTGTTTGGGAATCACATAGGGCTCAGAGGGGCCTGGCCAGCTGGTGCTGGAGTGAAAGTCACTCTCAGGGGCTCCCCCATCTCCTACCCTGCTTCCCACGTTCAGTCCGTCTCCTCACCTTCCTCAAACCACCCGTTCATTCTTATATTCAACACTTACTGAGGACCTATTTTCTATCTGAAACAGGGCTAGGGTTCTTTAAAAAGAGTGCCTGTTTGGGCAGCTGGGTGGCTCAGTCAGTTAACAGCATCTGCCTTCAGCTCAGGTTATGATCTCAGGGTCCTGGGATTGAGTCCCACATGGGGCACTCTGCTTGGCGGGGAGTCTGCTTCTCCCTCCCTCTCTCTCTCAAATAAATAAATAAACAAACAAACAAATAAATAAAAATCTTAAAAAAAAGAGTGCCTGTTTTTTTTTTAAAGATTTTACTCGGGGCGCCTGGGTGGCTCAGTCGTTAAGCATCTGCCTTCGGCTCAGGTCATGATCCCAGGGTCCTGGGATCGAGCCCTGCATCGGGCTCCCCGCTCCGCGGAAGCCAGCTTCTCCCTCTCCCACTCCCCCTGCTTGTGTTCCCTCTCTCGCTGTGTCTCTCTCTGTCAAATAA